TCTGTCCAATTACAGACATTTAATGAACTAATTGTAATAAATAAACCGTGTGAATCTCAACCCAGTTTTTGGTATAAAAGCACTATTGCCACCCATACACAGTAGAAAAGATTGAAAGCAGTGTTGGAAATAATCTATGAATTATGTATAGCATTTATCCATCAATGAGTCAGATGGGAGTCACGGTCATTTATTATGCAAGAGTGTCAAATAGAAAATTAAGAAATAAATTCTGTTTGTCCCTAAAGAACCTATCTTTCCCATAAGACAGTGCTTATGCAGCTTTCCTCAAAAATCACAAATCATTTGTTTAAAGGTTGTTCAGATTTTTGTTGATCAGACTTGGAGTCCTATCTGGACGCTAATGGTAAATAAATCCCAAGGTGTTTAACATTCCTTATCCCCCACTTTAAGTGGCTACAGTTCAATTGGCTAAGACAGATAAGATACTTCTAGATGTACAGTCATTAGAAGTGGTATTCAGCAGGCTCTGACCAGTTCTGGAGAACCAGTAGTGTAAATTTTGATTAGTTCAGAAAACCGGTAAATACCGCCTCTGGTTGGCCTCACCCCCATCTATTCACTACCTCCTGAGTTCCAGCTGATCAGAGTCCCAGCTGATCATCTGAGTCTTCTTTTGTTGCCCTGCACAGGAGTGTGGATCTGAAAAGCAGGTTAGTGAGGTGGGGAGAGAATGGGGATTTTACAGTATCCTTCCCCTGGAGTGGGTTGGAAATGGGGATTTTACAGTATTCTTCCCCTGCCACGCCCACCAGGCCACACCCACCAAGCCACGCCATGCCACACCCACCAAGAAACGGTAGTAAAAAAAATTGAATATCACCACTGACAGTGATGCCCATCAAAGCAGGATCTAAGGGCTGGTTTCTCCATGCTGATGTTCTGCAGATACACTGAAACTGAAACTAAAACTCCCACAGCCTGTGGTCAATATAGCCACAATCTCTGAACAGTGCCACTTATAAGCAGCTTTTAATAGGAAATAATAGTCCATGTCTCCCTTTATGTGTGGATTGTAAATGCTCTTTTGGCCACTTACTTTGGTGTCAGCTCAAACAGTGAACCATTAGTCTGAAATATAAGCATTAATGATTGAGACTGATAGTGTTACGTCCAGTGGTGAATACATCCAATGCATTAGGGTTTGTAATTGGCCTCTGGATTATGCTGAAACTGAGATAACTCTTCAAACAGAATACTGTACCATGAAAGTGAACAGGCATGATGAACTTTCCTATCTATCATCTTTCCAGCCACTATAATCACTTGAGTTCCTTCCAAGATAATGGATAAGAAACCCTTAATGATTTTATCAACTTTGAAACTCTCCTTGGAGTTTATCAGAATAAGGTGTTGGAATGGAGGAAGATGTTATGTTAATAGCAATACAGCTAAGGGACATTTAACTCCAACTGAATCAGAGACTGGGGTATGGAAAGGAAGCAGTGCCATAGGAATACAGCTGAACCAAAATGTTTTCAGGTCATGTTTATGCTAGAGCCAGGTGCAAGTTGGGAAAAGCCTAAATCCTGACATCAGTATCAAGTTAAGCCTTCAGTTTTCTGCAGTCACAAGCTGTCAGCCGGAGAAGTCAAGAATTTCTTGGATGGACTTGACAGAATCAGTCAACAAAGCTTCCTATCATTGCTCTTTTATATTGCAGTGGTACTGAATATTGCAGTATTCATCACCTTAGAGCCTATGTCTTCACACTTAAAATTTTGAGGTCACTTCATGCCTTTCCCCCTTCTTTTTGTGTAAAAAGACAACCTCTCTAAGAACTATTTTTTAAAAACACACAGGTGTTTAAGCTTGCAGTTTGTCAAGCTTTCGATTTCAGACTTACCATGGTTGGCCTTTAATATGCCATACCTTTCCCATTACAATTCTCTTTCAAGCCACCATAATGGGGAATATAAAACAGGTTCAAAGACTGTGCAGTGCCATTGAGACCAAATTGCTTCCACTGAGTATGGATGACCAATTCATCCACTGTGGTGGCAGCCTTTTAATCATGCTGTTCTGTTAAATAAGGGAGCTTGCATTTTAGAAGAGCCTAAAATATTAAGATTCAGAAAGTCAGAACTTGCTTTTAATACTCAAATCTCACTTTAATTCCCAGAAAATTATGTTATAGTGCATGAAATCTCCCTTTGAAGAATGGTAAGTGGAAATCTACAAAGAGGATAAAGACCGTCTGCTACTTATTTATAGAAATAAAGCGAGCACAGTGGGGAATTTTTAAAAATGAAACTAATAGTGTCATGATACCAGCAAAGGTTATCATTGAGTTCCTTTATTAATGACATTTAATTTTTCATCAAAGCAGTGAGTTGCAAGAGAGTGCATTACATATCTAGTAGATGTAGTTATTCATATCTGTATCCTGCTCCCTTAACTTTAATTTTTTTTTAAAAAAAGTAGAAAAGCAGAAGGAGATACAACTCAATTTCTCAAGCATGGATTTTAAAGTGTTAAGATTTGTTTTCCTGAGATCCCACCCACCCCCAACAAATGCTTAAGCCTCTCAGAATAATAAGGCTGTGTTTGTGCTGGAGATTTAAGATTCTTGGTGCATTGTGTTTATGATGCAAAAGCAATTCAGATTCTAACAAAGCATTTGTACTGCCAATAATCTCACACGCTAAGTGCACACTGGTATTTCTTTGTCAGTAATCAGATACATTCCTTGGAGACAAATAGATCTGGCCTCTTGCCATGGATTTTGATAAATAGTTTACCAGCACCCATCTGAATCAGCTATCATAGTTGGAGATTGTCTTGATGACGAGTTATCTCAAGAGAAAGCCATTTTCATTCATGAGGGGGCAGAGAAATATATGCTGTGACTCTTCTGTCACTATTGTGGACATTTTATAAACAATAATTAGGTGTCCTGATGATATTCTTATCTGATATTTTCACCTAATGGGGGAACACCACAGTTAACTATGGTTAAAATGTGAAAAGAATCCTCATAGAAACTTCAAAAACAACAAACGGTATAACAAGAAACTGGTGTTTTGAAATTATGGGATCACTCAAGGAGAATTACAGGAATCCTTATTTAAACTTTTAATATGAACTCTCTTCTATGGTTTTCCCACTAACTCAAAAAGCTGGTTTGGACAAGCAGGTATGAGCTTAACATGTACAATCAGACACATATAATTTGAGCAGTAAGAAAACACAGTATCATTGCAAAGTAGGGGGCAGGAGAAGGCCATTGTTGACAACAGAGTAGAAATATATTTTTTTTATAAACAAATTAGTTCCATTCAAACTGTTATATTTACTTTCTACATTACAGATTCACCTTGTTTAATAACATTGCCACTTTTTCTCTGCATTGCTAGGACATGAACCATCAGCAAAGAAACATCTCAAATGTACTTGCTTACACCTCAAAGTGTATGAAAGTCTCATTTTTAAGCCAATGCCAAAATTTGGCTCTGGAGAAAAAAAATCCAACACAACAGCACTTTCTCTTTGCATCATGCAATAGTAGGTAGGAGTACTAAAAAATTGTGCTCTTCTCTACATTTGATGTTTTGCAGCTTAATTAGCAAATAGGTATTCAAAAAATGGGGTTTGAACTGCTTGCTGTATATTTTTATAACCAACTAACTCTATACCCATGCTTCACTATGACACTATGTGGTCGGGTTTACTTTTTGGGAAGGAAAATGGGGGGGAGAATTCTGCCTCTGCTTACCAACATCCATCAGTATTCATCTGGCTAGTGTCCTGTCAGTGTGTGAAAAAGTTGAGAGATGTTTGGAAACTGAAAAAGTATTTGCTGTGTGAACAAGGAGACAGCAAGGAACCTTGGTGTGGCTTAGCTCAACTGTTCTGTACTAAAGCTGCTTGGTGCTGTGAAACTAAAACTGAAACTCCTCTCCTCTGCTTGTGTTTTGCAGGTGGATAGGGGGAGTAGAACTCCTTAGCATCAGAGCGTGTTAATAATAATATACGAAATATTGTTGGCCATTTCAAAAATCTTTTCTTAGTAAGCACCTAGAAGCCAAGAGGAACATACGTGCCAAATTTCAAGTTTGTAGACTTAACGGTTCTGGAGATTTGGTGATGATGCATGAGTGGTATTTTGCTTTTATATATATAGATTGAACACAGTGGTATTGATCTTTCAAGCTTCTCATGGTTTAGGACCAGTACACCTAAAAGACCATTCATGTCAAACCCTTCCCCATCCCTTCTATTCTAGGCCTCCTTGCCAAATGAATTGTGGCTGAAAGGAAACAGAGAAGAAAAGCTTTTTAGGATCTGGATCTCTGTTGATGGAATGGTTTTCCCATTGATGTTTATGCAATATTTATGTCACCATTCAAAAATGTTTCAGCTGAAGCTAGCCTTTTGCATGCTGGCACTACACTCCAAATAAACCAGGATTACAACTTCCAGAAATATCAATTACTACAGCCCAGAGGTGGTATTCAGCAGGTTCTGACCAGTTCTGGAGAACCGGTAGTGGAAATTATGAGTAGTTCAGAGAACCGGCAAATACCACCTCTGATTGGAGATTTTACAGTATCCTTCCCCTGCCACGCCTACCAAGCCACGCCCACAGAACCAGTAGTAAAAAAAATTGAATCCTACCACTGGCACAGCCATGTTAATTAGGAATTCTGAGAATTATAGTCCCAACATATCTGAAGGCCTAAGACTGGCTTGCATGAATTTCTATGCCTGTTTACCTATTATTTAAACATGTCCCCTGTTTTGTAAATTGAATAATAGTTATTATTTATTTATGGTACATAAACCAAGGAGGCACCTTTTATTTAAAAATGTAATAAACTTGAAACCCTGTGGTGTGCTTGAAGATAATTCAACTCGTCTTTCATTTTTTGAAAGATGTACACAAGCATGAAACAACACTGGGCATTCATTCATTCTCTGAAGCAAATACCAAATAAGATAACTTTTTTTTTGCTACAAAAAGAGAAGTGAACGGAAGTCTACACTTGCAGCAGGAGAGCAACCCCTGCTAAAATCCATTTGGATGGTTTCTCTTTAGTCTTCAAGTTAAATGTCCAAATATAGGTAGGACCCCTTTGGCGAGTTTTATATACAGGACAAGGATATACGTTGCGTGTATCTTGCTTGTCAACAAGGATGGCTTTGATGAAAATAATCGGCATGGGTGGAGTCAAATCCTTCAGTCTGGCATCAGCAATTAATCCAGCCTGCAAAGAGTAATGTTTAAAGATGAGATATTGCTAACTCTGCCTATTCTTCTTACAAAGATGAATCATTCTGAGCACAGAACTTCATGAAAACAACCCGTTTTGATTACACTACCAAAATATTCATAACAGCCAGCTTCGCACTAGAAGCAGCACATTTGCCTCAAAGCAAGACATTTCACGGTTACACACTTAGAAGTGATTCGAAGTAAAATATTTTGCACACCCTACCCTTAATGCTGTGTCCAGAAACTTCTGTGTGAAGTATGTTAATTTGTGCAGAGTTCTGAAAATAATGAAGCAACTATGTAATCACTTCTGTATTTAACTGTTCCGAATTAGCAAAGTTTGAACTCGTTAAAATAGGTTAATCCTTGTAAACATAAGCCTGAGCAATGAGTGGACCAGGAAGCAGAGAAATTACCAAGTCACTAAAGTATTCAACAGCATCTCAGTAAATACTACCAATACCCGATTCTTGGAAACAGAAATCCAATCAAATACAACTGAGACACTCAACACTAGAGGGAAGGTAAAAATACATATGTTTGTTTTTTCATTGGTACTGCTAATAGCAGCTTCAGAGAGGGCAACTTAGGTAAAGAAAATGTGACGCACATATATGTGGATTAAGCTCCTCTTCTCCCCATGCTGTTGCTCTGATCAGATTTGGACTTTTCTGCAGTTGTTTTTAATCAGACATTAAAGCAGTGTGATATACTGCTTGAAAGGAAATTTTGCCTTTGCATGCAGCATTAGAAATACAAACTCATCACTGAACAGGCAAGCACAAAGCAAACAACAGACATCAAGCTGGATTCAAAAAAGCAGCACCTCCAAGTGCAGAGGCTAGAATAAAAAGTGAAAAGGATTACAGGATTATATGATTATATTTATTTATCAAATTTATTACCCGCCCAACTTACCACAGGGTAATTCTGGGCAGGTTACAGTATTCTATTGTGATAATATATACCCTAGCCAAAACAGGTGGTCCTCAACCTACAATCACAATCGAGCCCAAAATTTATATTGCTAAGGGAGAAATTTGTTAAGTGAATTTTGCCCCGTTTCACGACTTTTCTTGCCACATTTGTTAATGAATCTGGTATCCCCACTGATTTTGTTTGTCAGAAGATTGCAAAAGGAACACTGCAACCATCATGTATGTGAATCAGTTGTCTGAATCTACATCACGTGACCATGGGGGATGCTTCAAAGACTATAAGTGTGAAAATTGGCCATAAGCCTCTTTTTTCAGTACCGCTGTAATTTTGAATGGTCACTAAGCAAAGTGTTGTAAGTTGAGGACTACGTATACAGAAACACAGAACAGAGAGATGAGCAATGCTATTAAAATGATATCCCACAAATCACTGTTTCCTTCTATATCTAAGCACCTCCACCTTTCCAGCCAATGATTAAAGATAGCTAATGAAGATGGAGGAGGAATCCCTGCATGGATAATTAATGGCAAAACGGGAAATTCACTAACATTCCATTCCTGTCTTTGCCTTAATTAAAGCAATGCTTATTCTCCAGAATATACCCTTCCATTAGATAGAAGGCAAAGGCAGCTTGATAATTAATTAGCAATATAGAGCAAAATGAAAAGGATAGAAGTCTTGGTTGAACCCAATGGGTAAAATCCCACCTGAGAATGCATGAGATTTACTCTAGGCTTTTGTGCTTTATAGTGTCTTGGAAATTTCTCCTTAAATCCTGATTTAGTAGTACAAACTTGCTTCCATAAAGTTTCTCTTTGTTCTCATCTAAGTAAACCCAACCAAAAAAAGGTCTATCGGCAGCTTGGCCCGGCCTTAACCTGGTATAAAGAAATTCTAGACAATCCCTTTGGGGAGCAATTCCACTTTAGCAAGACATTTCCTTTTAAAGTGATGGCTACAATCAATGCTGACAGTTCTCCTCCCATCCTTTCCAAAGATTAATTTCTAGTGGATACGTATCCCAGAAAGATTGGCTACACATCACACAGTAACTAAATTTTAAACCGCCATCCATCTGACCCCACAAGAATACATATGTTGCTACTGGATGGAAAATCAGGAGATTTATTTTAACACAAAAATGCTTTTATTCTCTCACCACAAATATCCCTAGTTGGAAAAAGACATGCTTAAGCACTAAGAAAGAACATAATTATTTTTATGCTGTGCTTCACAGCAAAACATAAGGAATCTTTAAAATAGTTATTGTTTGTTCTTGTCAAAGACCAGATGAAGTCCCCACTGACTTTGCCTCACTTGTGAGGCCTATGAACTCAAAGGGCAATTGTTTGAGGAGGGAAAGAGAATTGATCTTGATATGTTTGAATAGTTTTGCATGAAAAGTTTTGTTATTGAAAAATTCTTCTTTGGTGAAGTATCAAGGAACATCTTTTGAGATTTCTTTTCATGTCCCAGAAACAAGCTATTGTATCTTTTCTTCTATTCTATTCCTGAATATGCCCAAATGCACAAAATAATGGCCCTTTGGAAGCCTAGAATTATTGTCAAGTTTGGATAGCTCGTGTATTCTAGCATTGTAGAATTCAATACACAGAAATGGGAATTTATCCTACTGCTGCAAGAATTATCCATTTCCTGCTCAGATAGCTAGCTTCAGTTTTCATTGTTTCAATTCTTTTTTCCTTTTTTCTGTTTTCCTTGGACCATCCAAGGACATCTTGTGTGTCCAGAGAGCCAGGAAGGCGGGGTGTTCTTATAGCCTCCAACAGATTGATTGCCTTTATACATCATGAAGCCCTTATTTCTTTGGGTGCTTTCAATGAATCAATTAACTTTTAACTTTGGGAAACCACCTATTGTGGTTCAACCTGCTTCCAGATGGATATTGCCTTGAGTCCCTTGGACATCCATGGACTGCCCAATTCTGGCAGGTAGAGTCAGAAATAAAGCCTTGTAGGGACTTACATGTGTAAAAGACAACAAAGCAGGATCTTGTCTCTTATACCAGTACTTTACTCCCTTGCTGCTGCTTCCTCTTATTATTTCCTTGAATTTGTCTGATTCCATTACTTTTTGACTCTCCATTCCAAATTTATTCCACCCTCATTCCAGGATGGTTGATAATGATCTACTCAGACACTTAATTTCCTCAACATAGTTTGTGTTTTACAGCCACAAGTGTAACCCTTGTCCCTGCCTATATTGCCTCAGAATCATCTCTGGATAGGTAATCATCTCATGCTGAATTAATGGATAATTTTTTAAATTCTGTTTGATCTCTATACATTTCCAAATATTCATCATTCTGTAAAAAGGTAGGTGTGTCACCTAATTTCTCTAAAGATCTCACTTCTCCTTAATAAGGAAAAATAAGGAATAACTCTTAATTCCTTATCTTCACTTTTCTCTATCTCTTGTACATTGTTATCAGGAATATTTGCTAATCCCAGCGCTAGAATTACTAACCCACTCCTTTCCTACTATGAAAAATTGGGTGGGGAGAAAAAGAGAGAGTGCAGGAGAGAGAGGGGGGAGGGAGGGACAGAGGGACAGAAAGAGAAAGAGAAGGAGAGAGAGAAGGGGGGGTGGAGAGAGAGAGAGAGAGAGAGAGAGCAGTTCATGTAGTGCAATACCTGATTATTGTTCCTGAGTTAATTTCATTGTTGTTTGCCAGTCTCAAATTAATTTCCCCCAACTGCTGAAATGTAGTGCACACTCTGCTGTGTTTTGCTGTACCTATAAAATATTATTACTGTTCTACAGTTCTAAATAATTCTCAAACTACATTTCAGTTCACGCACATGTGAAGGAGGACATATAGTCACATAAATATTGTAATGCAATATTTGTTAACTTGGATTACCTTTTTTTAAGAACATAAAGATTTACTTTTTTAAAAAGAACAAATAAAAAAAAGAACAGAAATAAAAAATGTCACAATACTGGGTTACACAGGCCCACATGCAAGCCAGTATAAAACAGTTTCTAATGTGAGGGACTTCCGGTGGCTTTTCCATCATGGACAGATCAAAGTCTGCGATTATGCGTGACTTTGATCCATGCTACCCACATTGGAGGGCTCCAAACAAAGCCAGAACCACCCTGTAGGGGTGGTGAAGAAGGGGGACACTGCCTGTCAGGTTGAGGGGAGCCACATCTCCCCTCATTGACTAGGCAAACTCCCTCCGAAGACGGGCTGTAGCGGTGGTCAGAAATGGCCACCCTGAAGACAGAAGGCTATTCAGAAAGTAAGATCGTGCTGGAGTGAAGAAGTGGGCAGTGTAAAGACCAGGCAAACTAGCTGAAATATATGGATATTAAGGTACCCTGGAATTAAACCAAAAAGGAATTTTAAGAAAGATTGCAATAGTGGCGACCAGAGAAAGTGAAAAGAAAATTTGGATATAAAGGAAAGTGGCTTTGAACTTTGAAAGAGCTAAATTGAAGGAGGAACTCAGAAAATAGAAGAAAAATTTGTTTACATTGGATAAACATATGTGTTGCACTAGACAGGCACAATTAAGGCTGAACTTGAAGGTCTCAAAAAGGGAAAAATCTGATAATTGGACCTATTGAACTATTGAAATTTAAAAGCCTTAAACTGAGAAGGAAAGTGAAAAGAAAGGGTGGAACTTGGACATAACAGAGCACGCCATAACAGAGTGCACCCTAACAGAGTGCGGTAAAGGAAAATTTTAGTGATTTTTTAAAAAGTTCTTTTAAACTTGGAAATTGATACAAAGTCAATAAAAAATAAGAGAAACTTTGTTATGCTAACATTGAAACCCTGAAAAGTAAAAACACAGAATATTAAGATAAAAGGAAAAAACATGAAGAAATTACTTTGGGTTTGTTTGGTGATTTTGACACAAATTTAAACTTATAGATATTGGATTATTTGATGATTTTGGAAAAAACTTAAAGAGGATTTAATAGAAGCTGATCGTTGAAAACAAACATCAAAGATGCCGGCTGAATTAAATTATTGGATAACTGGTTTGGAATTAAATATTAAAGAAAAGGACAGAGAAAGAAAATCTAAAAGAAGTTTATAAAAATGGCAGAACTCCTCTTGGAACTTTTAATTAATATCTTTATTTAACTGGACTCCAAAAGGCTTGTTAGAATGATGAGCATAATCAGTTCTAAGGTTACTGGTGCACATTTTTGTTGCTAAAGTTAACAAGAATCAGACAATTACAAATAGCTGATATAGTCTCTCAAATGTTGCTTAAATATTTTTAATTAAATTTTGCTTTATTCGATGATATTTTAGTGTAGCACCCATACCTTGGGAAACGCAGAGTCTAAGGGATTAGATTAGATTATTACAAAATCCCCTTTCCCAAAGTTTCATTTTATTGCTTTTATTGTTTATCTGTGTTCATTTTGGTGTTTGGATTTGGGGTACATTAAGATTGCACTAAAAGGCAAAACTTTAGGAACTCCTGCCCTAGAGTGATACAACATCTGAAAGAAATTAAGGGAAATATATCCTAGACAAACAATCAAATACAGTAGTTACAGCTCCTTGATCCTCCAGGTGGACTTGGAAGAGGAAATAGAGGGAACAGCTGCCTCTAGATGCAGCTCAGCAGCTTGGAGCATAGCCATGTTTATGAACATGATTCCCAAGAAACACAACAGTCTGAAAAAGAGATTTGGAGGAGCCTGGTGTTTTTCCCAGCTTTTGCTTTCCCAGCTTTTGAGTTTCCAGTTACCATCCAGATCCTTTAGTACCTTATTCTGATTGCTGGACAAGAGCATCACTCTTATTCTGCCACGCATTCAAGTGAATTCTTATCCTCTTAACAGGAAAATGAATGCCATCCTTCACTGTTCTACCTGCTCAGACTTAGCCTTTTTCAGCTTATGCTTACACCTTTTAAATGCTCCATAGGGCCCCCAGCCTCTGAGCTCCTAGCCTTGGTTCCTCTTGCTGGGGCTCATGCAAGGTCAAAGTGCTGAGCAATGAGATGACTCTGACCTGATACTCTGAGATGAACAAGGTTAAAGAATAAAAGACATTGATTGCAATGTTTCAGAAATGGGATAAGAGCCAAGAAGCTTTTCAGCTTCAAGGCTAACAGCACCAGCTGTTCCTTTGGCAAGGGTTTTCTGTGTTTCCTGCCAAAAATAAAGAGTTGTGGAGTGGGAGGTAAAAGCGGTGTAAAGCACAATATAATGCACGTGTAATGCCTGTGGAAATGCAAATTCTGACATCAGTAATTTTGCCTCCTTCTCTTTAAAGCATGGGTTTTGGGGGTAAGTGTTTCAAGGTCTCTGGTGGGAAGAGGATGGAAAAATAAAAGTTCACTGAGAGCACAATAATCACAGCACAATACCCAAATAGTTTATATTGTCCTATTTTGTTGAATGCTTATTTTCAGCATACTTGCTTTGGTTCCATCCATTATATTTAAACTACTTTTCATCCACACCCTGGATGACTGAAAGTAGCATAAATGAAGCCCTGCAATTTCTTTTTAAAATCCAAAATGCCTCCTGTGCTGCTTTCAAAAACATCTCCTGTACTATTGGGACACTGAAGGAGTCTCCACTGTCTCCATTGTCAGTTGGGAAAACTAGAGAGGTGGGCTCAGGATCACAGAAGAGATGGGGTGGAGAGAGCAGCTGTGGAAAATCTAGGCTTCCTAAAGGAGTCGGATCCACAAATAAAGGTCCAGATTAGGCCTGCACCCTGGAGCTGCCCCCTGCTTGCTTTTTATTTTTTTTAATTATTTGATTTGTCAATTGCTTACAAGATAATAGGTGTAAGTATAAGCATGAGTAAGAATACAGGAAATAGGGACAAATAAATAGGGACAAAAGGACAGGGATGGTAGGTACGATTGTGCACTTATGCATGTCCCTTACAGACCTCTTAGGAATGGGGGTGAGGTTAATAGCGGATAGTTTAAGGGTAAAGGAGTGGGGGTTAGAGGATGTAACAACACAGTCAGGTAGTGCATTCCAGGCATTGACCACTCTGTTGCTGAAGTCATACTTTCTGCAATCAAGTCTGGAGCGGTTAACATTGAGTTTGTATCTGTTGTGTGCTGTTGTGTATTGTTACAGTTGAAGCTGAAGTAGTCATTGATTGGTAGGACATCGTAGCAGATAATTTTGTGCACTACACTTAAGTCCAACTGTACGCTTGCTTTATAGTCTCTTTAAGCCTATAATTCTATAGGCTGATGGGCTGGACAGTTCTTTGGGTCCCAAGCTAGGTGACCATCTAGCCAGAGAATTACAAAGAGACTTCAGAATTAAAAAAAAGAAATGGGCACAGTTCTTTCCAAGTTGCCATAGGTGTCTCACAAACGAAAAGCACAGAGGAGATCTTTTGAGGTCTCTATTTCTTGTTTAGCTATTTGACACAGATTTCTTCCTCTCTGAACATGCAAGCCGCAGCACAGAAATGAAAACCCATTAAAAAGTGTAAAAGCAAAAGCTAGGTCAAATGAATCGGCAAGGCACTGAAGTTTATCCTCCCCATCCTCGTTACCACCCCCACCTTCTGATATGTGTTTTATTTGCCACTTGAAACAACAATCAGCTCTAGCCTGGCTTTAACAATTTGACCTGAAATGTTCCACACACTTTGTTTTTAATGCAACCTTACCAGATCATGATTATGGTTTTTAACTTAATCCATCTACAGTATCTCTAAATGATGAATTCCAAGAAAACACCAATTTTGTACTTTAGAAGAAGGCTATGAATATGCATAGCAGAGCTCTTACCCCAGGCTTTTAAAGACAAATGGCATACTTCCAGGAGGTGAGTTTGAATTTCCACCAGAGAAGTGGTAAATCTAAGTTAATGATGAGCCACAGTCTTGGCCATGCACAGTCTAATTCTTCTGGGACTATTGTTTCACAATAAGGAATGCCCTGATTTTGGTGACTTATCAAGTAGCAGCAACCCTTAAATCTTTGCATTTACCTGCATATCCCAGCGTGCACCTTCCATAAACAAGCCATGAATATATGCACCTTCCCGTGGAGGACTGGTGAACTCTTCACGGTTTCTCTTAGTCACGTCACATTGCAGTGTCATTTTGTCCAGAGGCCACTCATTTTTTCGGGCCATGGACTGCATGATAGCTGTCAAGAAAGACTGTGGGTTAAAGAATCCTGCCAGCCACACCACAGATGGTAGCACGAAGTCTCCTATCCATGTTTCAAGCTCTCTGATGCGATTGAGAAGGTCGGTGAACCAACTGCCTAAACCAGACATGGAAGGGTAAGCTCTCCTGGTCCATGATTCAGGCACCATATCTAAGAAGATGGCATTCTGTAAAGTTTCCATGTCATTGGTCATGGTTAATTCACCCTAAAACATGTAAGAAAAAGGAGTGTGACAAACATGTTTCAGCCAAAATGCACGAAACAGGGGAAAACATTTGGCAGGATTTGCAAGACATCTGAAAATCATTCACCCTTCAGCTGCAAACAAAGGTAGAAAAATGGAAAATCAACTAGTTTAACAACTTGAAACACTCCTAAAATAACTGGGAAATATTTGTGGAATAGTTTGGATACTTCTGCTATATCACAAGTTTTTATCATTATTTGATTGAATTGGCATTTTTCTAGCTTTTGCTTGGTTTTCAAAATGGCGATAATGCAAGTTATTAGCTATTTTCTGTATATTTATTTATTGTATATTTATCCCACCTTTACTATTGTTATAAATAACTCAAGGTAGTGAGCGTTCATAATATTCCTTCTCTTACTATTTTCCCCACAGCAACAACCAGTGAGCTGAATTGAGAGAAAGTGACTGGCCTGAGGCAGGACTAGAATTCACAATAGCAATAGCAATAGTCCAAATTATTTGACTAATGGTATCCACAACATATCCTCCCTGCCAGACTGGATGGGATGGGAGAAGACAATTCCTCAGGTAATAGCAATAGCACTTAGACTTATATACTGCTTTACAGTGCTTTATAACCCTCTCTAAGTGGTTTACAGAATCAGCATATTGCCCCCAACAATCCGGGTCCTTGTTTTACTGACCTTGGAAGAATGGAAGGCAACATCCTAGTTTCTAGGCCAGCACCTTAATCACTACATCAAACTGGCTGTTTATTTATATTTATTTATTCACATGGGTGTATAATGTTCTTTTTAGCTAATGTTATACATTAGCTTTCTGATAGTAGGCTACCCCTCATAAACTGAGTGTTTTCTTGTTGTCTCTAAATGGTGTTCAAAATTATACAAAAAGTGGAGGGGGAGGAGTTTGTACCTTCAGTCCCAGGTCTAGCTCTCTCAGTGACCTCTTGATCTCACTAGTGAGAAAGTTCATGCGTTCGCATTCCTGGAAGGCAACCACAATGTATGGTGTTCTCTCTTCTACTTTGGCCATAAGCTCGGGAATGTTAAATTCGTCCGTTAATTTCTCCAGGATGTCATCAAGCAGTGCCTTCACCTATATGCCAGAGTAAGGGAATATTGCTGAAACTTACCTATACAGTTATGAACAACTTGAATTAAGTTGTTGTAATTAAGTTGTTAAAGTTAATTTCCCTTTATTGAAAAAAAGCTGAGTAAGTCCAAGCCTGGCTCCTTTAATCAAGCCATCTGACGGATTATTACATCTACAAGCATTCATAGAAGTTCCACGTACATAAAATGGTTTTGAAAATGGCCACACATTATGCAGATATTCTTTTTTTTCTCTCTCTTGATTCTCTGTGCCTGTGCCTCAATTTCAGATTAAGGCAGTTCTAATCTGAATATAGATGAAGTCATAAAAGGAAGGGGAGAAAACATTAGAACACACTTACTGAACCTCCTTAAGAGTCATTTTATTCAGCAATTGTCAAATGCAATAACTCAGAGGCAGTGGTTGTCTGGTTTTATTTTATTTTATTGCACCTTCAGGCTGCAATTTGGCAGCATCTCTGCCCAAATTGCACTATAAGATTCAATTGTTGGCAGAATTTGGAACTTAAACTAGAAAGTCCACTGCTGAAAGAGAATGAGGAGGACCCACGGTGAAGATCCCTGGCACCAACCTACCTAGACAAAAGGTTAGGTCAATGGAGTATCTGAGCAGTATTAAGATTTGACATATACCCCATGTGTAATGTAATATTCAGTCCATCTGCCAGTGATTCAAATGAATTGCATCAAATGTGAGAAGAGGTAAGTGACTAATAAGCTCTATTTGAGGTGAGAGGCAAGTGGGGGTTGAAGCCCCAACTGCTCAGGTATAAGTGACAAAGTCCCTGAGGTTTTGCACCATGGTAACATAGACGTAGGAGATAACCAGGCTGAGCCCAAGAGAGTGGTCAAATGCATCATTAGTCTTGAATCCCTTCATGTCCACAAGAGATCAAAATCCAGCCTACCTGGAATTCTGTGGACTCTTATCTATTACCAATTTGCCTTGATCATTAGTAGGTCAGATACTTGTAGGGAGCTTTAGCTTACATAAGCCTATACTTTCATTTGAACTGCCTGGACTCCTGATTTTCTGCACTTGACGGTAGGAAGGATGTGATATCTGTACACAAATGCAATTGGTTGCAAGGTGAGGTGAAGTTGATACTCCAATAATTGATCTTCTAGACTGATAGTGAAATGGATGGAGATATGACAGAAAGCATCATATACACATAATCCTCGCTTAATGACTAGTCGCTTAGCAACCATTCAAAGTTACAATAGACTTCCCCAGAGCTACATATGACCAAGTTCCAGAGTTCCAAAAGGCACACCCCCTCCTGCATGGTCAAGGTCACATGGTCACATTTTGGATGCTTCACAACCAGTTCGCATTTACAGCCATTTACAGCATTCCCCAGTCATGAGAACTCAATTTTCAATATATTTTTCCCAGTTTCCAGCATTTATTCCAAGTTTTCGGCAAAAAAAACACCCACGGAAGAAAATGGGTTGACTTAACAACTCTGTCATTCACTTAACAACTATTTATATACAGGGTTGTAAAAACAGGAAGAGCACCATGACTTATAACTATAATTAAGGACTCAATTATGATAATAAATCAGGGATTTTCTGTAGAACACTTCAGAGGAAGAGAGACTTCCAATTCAGTAGCAGTGTCAACCTGGCTTCCCCAATCTGCAAACCAGGTAACTGCACTGGGGGTGTCCTTGGCCTCCATATGATGATGATGATTAATGCCAGCTCTGTCTGTAATAAATGTAACTATTTCAGAGAGCATTCTCTTAAGTTCATGCTCTGTACCATCTGTTATTCTATTTTAATACAGCTAAATTGTATACTCGTTTTAAGAGTGTTATGACTGTTATTTAATCAATTATTTTAACCATAGCATAAATGTTTTATACATTTATCTAAATTATGTGATATAGGCCACCAAGAGCTGTTAGATTGCCATGGGATACAAATGCAATCAATCAATTTTAACGTGAATCATTGCATCATGCTACAAACTATACAAGAAATATAGCTTAACTGCCAGATTTTGGATGGGTTGGGTGATAAGGTAATTAGCAGCCACTAAATGAGACAGAAGGAGTTTCAATCTTCTTCCTAATATACTTTGAAGCATTCACTGCAACTACAGAAAATGTATCTCCATTTCCCAGCCCATCATTTCTAATCAGTCGGAACTAATAATCACAAATCAGAAACTGAGTAAATCCATCCAAATTTTGGTTGCTACAATAAGGGTATGTAATTTTCCCTAGGAAGGCAACTAAAAAAAAGCTTTTCAATGGCATGTCAAGTGCCACATTCCCAAAAATAGTAAGAGAAAGGGGAGACAGGACAAAAACTGAATTTGAAGGGAACCCCATATAGAAATATGATGCAACAAAACCCTCATGTTCATGTTAACAAGAATAAATATTGAAAAATACATGCTGATAAAGGAAGGAATATAGAGTAACTAATAATTATTGATGGCTTTATTTTGCTTGACTGGGCAAAGCAACAATCAGTCTTCCCCAAAAAGTGAGTTTGTACATATCTTCCACATTCCATGGAGAAAGTATCCTAATAGACAATACCTGATAAGAGTGTTGTCTCTTTTGGTAACTCATAAGAGACATTGTCTCTTTTGGTAACT